ACGAAGAACCTCCAGCTCTAAGCACATCTCTTCGATTCCGCTGTTCTTCCTGCATTAACATATGCCTCAGAGACCTGGGCCCTACACAAACAGGATGAGAACGCTATTCAGGCCTCCCAAAGAAGAATTGAAAGAGCTATGCTTGGAGTATCACGTTTCACTCAAATGAGAGAAAGAATCCGGAGTTCCGACCTCCATCTACGATCAAGAATCAGGGACGCTGTCTCGTTTGCCAAGGCGTCAGAAATCAGATGGGCTGGTCACGTAATGAGATTTAAAGACAACCGCTGGACTAGAGCCATTACCGACTGGATTCCACGGAACGTCAAAAGACCGCGTGGCTGCCCACCTACCAGATGGTCAGACTTCTTCATCAAGACCCTGAACGATCAGTTTGAGGCTCTTCGTGTTCCTAGAACAAACAGACGCCATTGGGCTACACTAGCACGCGACAGGGACAAATGGAGACGTTACTGGCGCCCGCTCGAGCAAATCGACGATTAACGGGAAGTCAAGTGATCAAGCCAAGTGATATATATATTAAGTACGATTCAGCTATTTTTCAAGGACTAAATTCTCACATCTGCAGCAAGATGGAAGGAGGACATTATGCAAAGTGCAATGAATCAGAAGGAAATAGACAAGTATCGAACAATTGGACACGTGTGCGATGAAAGGAAATAAATGGATGAAAGGAAAAATAGATGCGAGAAAATTAAAATAAACCAGTGAAAGATGGGATAAGAAGCCACAGTCAGAGTGTAAGCCAACATCTCCACCCCAAAAGAAAAGTCAGTGGACACTGAAAACAGAATTTACATTACTTGAGAAAAGGCAGGGTGGGGTGGGGGGAAGAGTTAGTGAAGATGATGCTGGGATGTTGTTTGGGTGAATTGCTTAATTTCCAGTGCAAGCTAGCTTGCTTTGTGTTTACAATTGGGGGTTCTTTCGGGTTGGTTTTTTTTTCTTTTTTTTATCTTTTTTTTATCTTTTTTTTTTTTTTTTTTTTTGCTTTTTGGGTCACACCCAACGATGCTCAGGGGTTACTTCTGGCTCTGTACTCAGGAATTACTCAAGTGCCCTAGAACCTCCGCCAATATTCTTAAGTTACTTCTAGCCTACCTCTTCATGTTGTTTCACGTACTCCTCCTCTCTTTGGTAATCTGTTTTTTATTCAAGGCCAAGAGTGTGTCATCATTTGATATTGTCTATTCCCTTGTTTTGTTTCTCTGTAGTCCATAGATGGGTTAGATCATCTGGTATTCGTCCTTCTGCTTTCTGCTTCTGTTTGGGTTTTGGGGGTTTTTTTGTGTGGTTTTGGGGGTATTTTGTTTGTTTGTTTGTTTTTGCTTGTTGGGTCATACCTAGCGATGCTCAGGGGTTACTCCCAGCTCTGCACTCAGGAATTACTCCTGGCGGTGCTTGGGGGTCCATATGGGAGGCCGGGGATCGAACCCAAGTCAACCGCGTGCAAGGCCAATGCCGTAACCGCTGTACTATTGCTCTGGCCTGAGAATTATTTCATTGAATGTGATATCTTCTAGTTCTATCCAAGCTGTAGCAAACTGCACACACTCAGCTTTTCTTAGGAGTTCATAGTATTCCACTGTGTATATATACCACAAATTCTTTTTCTATTCCTCTGCCCTTGGATATTTGGGTTGTTTCCATACCCTGTTTCCTATGTACAATATGTACAATAAACATAGGTGTGCATCTATTCTTGTGTGTGTGTTTTGGGGTAGATGCCAAGTAGTGGAATTGATGTGTTCTTCGGAAGTTCTCTTCTTACTTCTAGTTTTTGTTTTGTTTTTTGTTTTTGTTTTGGGCTCACACTTGGCAGTGCTCAGGGCTCTGTGCTCAAGGATCACTCCTCCAGGGAACGTGAAGGCCCATATGAGGTGTCAGGGATCAAACCCAGGTCAACTGCATGAAAGGCAAGTGCCCTAACGACTATATTACCTCTCTGGCCTCTTCTTTTTACTTTTTTGGAGAAATCTCCATACTGTTTTCCGTAGAGACTGAACCAGACAACATTCCCGCCAATAGTGAATTAGGTTGTTTTTTTTTTTTAATCAGATCTTGGAGTCTTTTTCTTTTTAATGTAAAATATATAGAGATAGGAGCCCCAGAATAGATAAAGCACCTGACCAGCATCTGTATGAGGTCCTAGTCCCCAGCCCTCCTGGAGTGTTGGCCCCTATAAAAGAAGATGCATAATGATAGTCACTATAACGCTATGCTTCAACGCACACTCAACTGCACTATGTATGTCTGCTTCCAAAACAGACAGTGGGTGGGGCTGGAGCAATAGCACAGCGGGTAGGGTGGTTGTCTTGCACGCGGCCAACCCAGGTTCGATTCCCAGCATCCCATATGGTCCCCTGAGCACCACCAGGAGTAACCCCTGTGCATTGCTGGGTGTGACCCAAAAAGAAAAAAAAAAGACAGTGGGTAAAACCTAGAAGAGGGGTGGAATGGATAAACACAAGAGTCAGCAAAATGGTGCACTCTGGAGAAAAGGAAGACCATCAGGAAAAGATAATCCTGATATACCTTTTACAGTTGAAGATACACCTTCAACTGTGCAGGTCCTATTTGTTTCCTTGGTTGTTTGTTTTGTTTTGTTTCTTGTATTTCGAACCACACCCAGCAGTACTCAGGGCTTACTCCTGGTTCTGCACTGGTGGGCTCAGGGTGGTGATAAGCATTGAACCCAGGTCAGCTGTGTACAAGACAAACTCCTCCCCCCTCTCTGTACTATTGTTCCCACCTTGTCATGTTCGCTTCTTGACCTGAGGGAAGTTATAACATTCTTTTATTTTTCTGAATATGTATGAATATTTCTTTCTTTTTTTTTTTTTTTAAATTTTGCCCCAAGAAAGGGAGATAAAATCACCCAGGTTTAATTTGTGTCTCTACCACTTACTCGGAAAAGAATTCCTTAATTTCTTCAAGTCTCTGTGTCTATCAGAGATTCTGGGGGCCAGAGCAAAAGTACAGTGGGTAGGGTGTTTGCCTTGCATGCAGTGAACCCATATGGTTCGATCCTTGGCACCTCCATATGGTCCCTTGAGACCGCCAGGAGTGATCCCTGAGCACAGAGCCAGGAGCAAGCCCTGAACACCAACGGGTGTGGCCCCCAACATAAAAAAAAAAAAAGAGGAAGATTATGGCCATGCTAATTTGTTTAACATAAATTTGAGGTAGGTGAGGGACCACAACCAAGGATAGTGAGGAGCTATTCCTTGGAAATCACGTGATACTCAAGGCAACTACGGGATGGTGAGGGTGGCACGGGAACTTCCCATATGTACTCTGCCCTTTGAGCTACCTCACTGGCCCGACGACAATCAAATTACGTGCAATCATATGGACATTAGTACTTTATAAAGTGCCAAGGGCTGTGAAAGCATAAGCTGTAATTGGACGAGAACGCCTCGCAAATTCCTGTCATTTACCGGAAACTCAGTGTTCTGCTCTTATAAGAGTCTCGTTCCTACCCTCCTGAGCACTCCCTCGTACTGCAATCAACCAGCATTAAGGCTATTGATGCTATTATGTGACTGTCACAGCCTCACTCCTGCCTTTGGGGTTGTCATTGTATTTGCCAGAGCTCAGTTCCTGGGTACACATCAAATGCGTTTTCAACCCCCCCACCCCGTTTGTTATTTATTTTTTCAACGCTGGAGCTCAAACCCAGGGTTGCGCACCTGTAAGACAAACACTGTCCCGAGGGTCTACATCCCTGATTTAACCTGAACAGTGGTTTCCTACAGGAAGTAAGAATGGGAAGGGGGTTAGATTTTTTTGGTCGTTTTATTTCTGTAGTTATTTTATCATGAACCTGTATTGCTTCGTGACACGGGTAGCTTTTTTGCTTTTTGGTTTGTGGGCTACACCAGGCGGTGATCAGGGATTTACTCCTGGCTCTGTGCTCAGGGATCACTCCTGGTGGGGCTAGGGGCGGGGAGAATCCCATGCCAGGGATGCCGGGGAGATCCGAACCCGGATTGGTTGCGTGCAAAGCAAGTGCATTCCCCTGCTATCCTACAAATTATTATTTTTGCTTTTTGGGTCACACCTGGAGATGCTCAGGGGTCCCTCCTGGCCCTGCACTCAAGAATCACTCCTGGCAGTGCTCAGGGGACTCTATGTGATGCTGGGGATCGAACTCGGGTCGGCCGCGTGCAAGGCTAACGCCCTACCCCGCTGTGCTATCACTCCAGCCCGTATCCTACAAATTTTAATGAAAATAAAGAAATATTAAACTGGCATATCTGAAGACCTCGTCACCTCTTGGAGGGAAGAAGGTCTCGTTCTGACACGGGAAATTCTATGGAAGGGAAGCGTTGGGTGCTGGAAAAAACAGGAGGCAGCGCAGTGCGGGGGTCGGGGGGGTTCCCCGGGCTCTCTCGGGAGCCCCTTGGGTGTGACAGGCGGGTCTAACGGTTCGCGAACAGCCGGGCGTGGCCGTTAGGGGGCGCGCTCGAGGCGGCGGCGCGGTTCCCGCCCTCCCCGTTACATGCCCCAGTAACCCCAGCGCGCCGGCGACCGAGAGTAACCTCGCGGTCGGGTGACGGGCGCCCCCCCCCGCCCCGACTCTCGCCTGCTCGCCGCTCAGCCAATGGGAGGGCGGCGCACCAGCCGGCCGGACTCTCGCCCTCCCCGGCTCCGCCCCCGAGCAGTTAGCACAGAGTTGTACAATCACCTCGCCGCCGGCGGGAGGATCTGCCAATCGCCGCCCGGGCGCCCGCCCCCGAGCCCCGCCCCCGAGCCCCGCCCCCGGGCCCCGGCCCCGCCCCCCGCTCCGGGCCCGGCCCGAGTCACATTCGCCTTTACAATCGCTCGGCCCCGCCCCCTGCCTACCTTGCCGCACGAGGCCACGCCCCCTCGCCGCGCCGACCAATCGCGGGCGGGCCTGGCGCCACTGGGCGGGCCCGCAGCCAATGCGCACGCCGTGGGCGGGCTCCGGGCCGGAATTGGGGGTGAAGCTCCAGCCTTGTGCCCACATTCGGGGCGCGCGGAGCTGGGGGGGGGTCCCTGGGGGGGCGCCCGGAGCTAAGATGGCGTCCGCAGCCAAGGGGGCCGAGGGAATTGTGCCCGAGCTGGCGAGGGTGCTGCGGTGGGGTTCCGAAGAGCTGAACCTGGACAAGTTGTCGACGTCCCTGGGCGCGTCAGAACAGGCGCTGAGACTCATCATCTCCATCTTCCTCGGTAAGGACCCTCCTGCCTCCCACCGCCCCCTCCAGGAGTCCCCGGGGAAGCGGGGGGCACGACCTCTCCCCCCTCCCCGGAGCACACCCACCCCCCGGGAGGGCTCGGTCGGGGTGCGGAGGTGAGCACACCAGCCAGCAGTGGAGGGGAGGACCAGTGTCGCCTCGGGTCTGGGGGCGCTGTGACCTTTGAGCCTCGTCACCTCTCTCTCGGCGACCCCTGTCGTGCCCGTCGGGCCCCCTCACTTAGCGCCCCGGCTCTCCGTGCCACCGTCCACCTGTGTCCCCACCACCTGCCCTTATTGTCTCTGAGTCCTGCTCGCGTCCGCGTGCACCGCTGTGGGTCGCATCCACCCGGACACAGTTTCTCACCGGTAGACAGAGGTCCCCTAAACTTTGGCAGTTTCAGCCCTGGGGACCTTCTCAGCCCCAGGTTGCATACTTCCATCCCCCGAGCCTTCATTGAGTGCATCGCCAGCTTCGATGACACCTTCGTCTGGTTTCTGTCCCGTTTCTAGTATTTCCCTCCTTAGGCTCTATTCTGCGCCCCCTCACCTCCCCATCCCCTTGGACCACGCGCCTGTCATTTACCCCCGGTTACCCTTTCCAGTGCTGAGTTTGGGAAGCAGGACTGCGAGACCACACCTTTAAAACTCTCCTGGCTACCCCAAGCGTGTATTACTCATGGTTCAAAGGATGTGGTGTATCTGAATTTATGTCACAACAAGCTGTGTTATAACTGCTTTATAGGCTTTTTTATTTTTTTACTGCATCCGATTCCTTGGGTGGGGTGTGTGTGTGTGTGTGTGTGTGTGTGTGTGTGTGTGTGTGTGTGATACAAGGAAGCAGCAGCATCGCCCCATCAGAAGGAGTGTCGTTCCTTAAAAACTCCGGGGCACCTGGCAAACCAAGCGAACTCTGTGTTCGTTTTCTTAGCCGTGGCGGGAGAACCATCCTGCCTACTCAGAGGATCGCTGTTAGGAATTCAGAGGTCAGGATCTGATACATAAAAATTGGAGGCGTTGGGAACTTTTGGTGAAGGTTGTAGGACTTGAGCCAGCAGTGTCGGGTGAGAGAAATTCAGCAAACTGGACTGGGACAAGGGCAAAAGGTTGGCACTCCGGCACCGCAAGAATTTTGAGATCGGTGGGGTGAAGGAAGGGTGGGGATGGAAAAAAAATGTTTGAGATCATTTGGCAGATGTGAGAGAAAGCCTGAAGTGCTCTAAAGAAGTTTGGGATGCGTCCAGTAGTCTGTTCAGCCGCTGACATATAATATCACCTAAGGGTGTTCACGGGATCTCGGTAATGAGCGAAACATTAATTCATATTTAAACAGCCTTGACTAATAAACAATTTGCCTACTGCATGCATAGCAGACCGAGAAGATCTCCCTTCCTCGCAAAATGAAAGTTACCTTCTCCTCACGCCCAGTGGGAACATTTTCAAGGTGGAAGTGGGACCTAGGTTGTGTGACTTCTGCAGTGTGACCCAGGTGTAAATCAAATTTATCGGCACCCCCATCTCGGGTCGTTTGCACCACAACCAGCTTTGAACTTCCTACTCCCACTACCTGCATTTAAGCCAGTCATTTCCTGCCCCGTGTAATTGGTAATTAAGAGTGTTTACATTCATTCGGTTTGGTAGGAAACTGCTGTTCTCAACTCCAGCTTCAGAGGGGACCTGTCCCGGCGGCAGGGCTGGGACTGGAATCAGAACTTGGAATTTGTCCTTTTTTGTGCTGACATAATCAGGCACTGCCTTTGTGTTCCTGATGGACTCTCCTGGGCTGGGTCACTACTAGGAAATTCTCCGCTTGAAGTCCCATTGCTTTACTCTGGTTCCCTCAGGACCATGAGTGGGCCCCGTAGCAAAGACTGACTATGACATTTTTGTACTGCTGAGCGCCATACATGACACCCTGTGCCTTCTGTTACTTTCCATGACTCTGTGTTTCTCCTTTTGAAATCAACCAGGATTTTTTTTTTTTTTTTTTGGCCACAGGCTATCCAAGAATCTTCTCTAGGTGTTAGTTAAGGGTTGGGAGCAGTTAAGGATTGGGAGCGATAATATAGCAGGGAGGGCACTTGCCTTGCACTTCGTGGCTGACCCGGCTTCGATTCCCCAGTGCCCAGACCCAGGAGTGATCCCTGAGCACTACCTGGTGTGATTTTCCCCCCTCCCCCCCAAAAAGTGGGGCTGGAGCGATAGCACAGTGGGTAGGGCACGTTTGCCTTGCATGTGGCCGACCCGGGTTCAATCCCCGGCATCCCGAGCACCGCCAGGAGTAATTTCTTAGTGCAGAAGAGCCAGGAGTAACCACTGAGCATGACTGGGTGTGACCCAAAGAGCAAAAAAAAAAAAAAGAAGTTAAATACGTGACTGTAAACTGAAATTGATAAGCTTACCTGGGGAAAAAAAAAAGTATATTCTTGCAGTAAATTTACACTCTCCCTGGAAAGATACTGTCACTTGCCTGGATTGTAGCTCGAACTCCCAAACTTGTCAGTTCCTGGTTCCTGACCCCCGTTCTCCCAGGGAACTGTGAGCAGATAGGAAACCCTGACCCGGATCCCCAGAAGGCCCGTCGGCTAAAAATGATTTCTGACTCAATTATTTAAAGTTAATTGGAATTAAAGGCACCTAAATGCAGATCTCCCAAGGGCCAAGTTCATTTTAGCAGCCACGTCTGGTATAAAGTGAGAGTAACTTCATTTCTCTCGGGACCGTTTCTCTCCTTGAGCTCTGTGCGCTGACTGACCTCGGTTGTAGCTTGGAGTCTGACTGGGATTCATGATAAGAAATAAGATTGGTTCCTTGTTTAAATTAGTTTTATTTAGGGGGGGCTGAACCATAGTACCCGGGTAAGGTGCTTGCGTGGCCAACTTGGGTTTGACCCCCAGCCCCCAAAACAACAGCAACAAAATAATAATAGTGATTTTAGGAAATGAGATTAGAGAGTCCCCAAAAGGAGAGGGAGAGGGAGGGAGAGAGAGAGAGGAGAGAGGAGAGAGAGACAGAGAGAGGCTTGATATCATCACCCAGTACACATATATCTGTCTGTGTTTTTAATATTGCAGATTTTATATTACCAAAAAAAGTTTTTTTTTAATTTGAGGAGAGTGTAAATTATCTGTGCTGCTCTGATATTAGTCTTTGATGACCTAATATTTGTTTTTTAATACATCTCTGCTGTAGGGTTTGTCAAATTTTTTTCTGTATAGGGGCTGGAGCGATAGCACAGCGGGTAAGGGTGTTTGCCTTGCATGCAGCCGACCTGGGTTCGATTCCTCCGTCCCTCTCAGAGAACCCGGCAAGCTACCGGGAGTATCCTGCCGCACGGCAGAGCCTGCTTCCCGTGACGTATGTGATATGCCCAAAAAAGTAACAACAAGTCTCACAATGGAGACGTTACTGGTGCCCACTCGAGCAAGTCGATGAGCAACGGGAGGACAGTGCTATAGTGCTTTCATTTAAACTAAAAGGAAATTAAGGACATTTCAGGAAACATTGGTTTTCTTTACTGTAGGCAGTGTGTTTAAGCCATTTTCTTTTTTAAAATTTTGGCATCATCACCCACCAAGTTGAAGCATTGGTTATCCCAAGTAAGTAGTTTGAGGACTTGGGGCAGCGGTTCAGTGGTAGAGAAATACTTGCCTATGAGACCCCGAGTTTGGTCCCTGGCATCACTTTTTTTTAAAAAAAAAAGAAAGTAGTGTGAAAAATCCTAAGTCAGAAGTTGTAATTTTGAATATTCAAAGACTTCAAGGAAGGGGCTGGGGTGATAGCACATCAGGGAGGACATTTGCCTTGCACGCAGCCGACCCGGGTTCGATTCTTAGCATCCCATATGGTCCCCTGAGCACTGCCAGGAGTAAGTCGTGAGTGCATGAGCCAGGAGTTACCCCTGTGTATTGCCAGGTGTGACCCAAAAATCTAAAAAAAAAAAAGACTTCAAGGAAAATGTAGGTTTCGGAGGCAGAGAACTACCCTGGGTAGAGCACTTGATTTGCACATGGCCAACCTGGGTTTGATCCCTGCCACCATGTACAGTCTCAAGCCCTAGCAGGAGGCCCTGAGCACAAAGCCAGAAGTAAGACTGAGCATGCTGGGTATGGCGCAAAAAAAAAAAAAAAAGTCTTGGGAGAACTTCTGTGTCTCCTTAGTTTTTTTTTTTTTTTTGGAAGGGCCAGGTGGGGATGGGGGGAATTCGGGGAGGAGGGGGTCTGTCTTGTGTGTACTACACAGCTTTGGGGTCTGAAAGATAGTCTAGGGGTTAACGCAGTTGCCTTGCAGAAGTCCAACCCCAGTTCACTCCCTGGAAGTGCAAATGGCCCCCTAAAGTATCTCCAGGAATGATCCCTGAGCACAGAGCCAGGACTAAACCCTGAGCATAGCCCAGTGTGACCAAATACATACACACACGCACACACACACACACACGCACACACACATACCACCCAACACAAGGCATTTGGTGGGATTTTGCTGTGAGCCCTGGTGCTCGCAGATAGTACTACTAGCAGACCTCACCCCTTGAACTAATTCATTCCAGCAGTCGTTCAGTTCCAATATCAAATCCTTTACCTGCTCCGGGCGAAGGCCACAAGGCAGTAAGTACACTTCACCCTGCACGGGACACTGAGGGCACCGTGTGGTGTGGGTAAGGGAACCAGGCACTCGGAGATGCTGCCTCTGGCCTGTTCGGGGGTAGGGAATGCCCCTGAGATAAGCCCTCCAATAAGGAACCGCAATAAAAAGGCTGAGAGATGTCACCACCGTCGGAGACTGACTGAGTTTTATGAGTTTTGAAGGTTGGGCCTTTCGTGAACTTTGACTTTGAATGAAGCAGCCAAGGAGGGTGAGACCGAAGGATCAAGCATCTGCCAAGACTCCAGTGGCCAACTGCGGAAGGATCAATTCGGGGAGCCAGTAGGTAGCTCAGGTGGACTTGACCGAGCGGCTGGAGACGAGGGAGTAGAAAGTTAGACTGGCTGGAGCG